ATTCCTCCACAACGCTGAACTCAAATCGACCACATCGCCATCAGCCACCGCTGGCGAGGATCTATTGAAGATTGCCGCTTCTACTGGTCAACACCCGTGGACACGGACCATGCTCTGCTACGAGCAAGATTCTCACTACACCTGATAAACAACCGCAGAAAAGCCACTGAAAACGGATGCCCACAATATAGTATCACCGACAGTTGCAAATCGGCCTTCGAAGCGGAACTATCAGATCACCTCTCAGCTCATTCATTGGGTCGGAGGACTCAGTGAACACTGGTCGGCAATCAAGGAAGCGATCCAAACGTCGATTAAAACAATAGCAGATTCTGGTGCACGATCAAATAAAAAGCGATGGATCTCCCCGACCTCTGTTGCCTTGTTGGATGCTCGCAGAGACATTCCGTCGGATTCAAATTACGACAAACGCGCAAATCCCTTAAACTCCAGCTCACCAAGAGTCTGAGGAATGACCGCGAGAAGTAGTGGGTAGGAAAGTGTAAAGAGATGGAGAAATCTGCGGCTATCGGTAATAATCGCAATCTTTTTCGTTTGATTAGAAGTGCAGGACCAATGAAAGCATGCGTGAGGTAATTAAGGAGTCTGATAGCACATTGATTTAAATTCAAGAACGTTGTACGGAACATTCTGAGGCGCAGTTCAGCTGGTCCCCTTCGATACAAGACCTCCCCCTACCCGGTTCAGCTGTGCGAATACTACCAGTTGACATCAGTCTTCCATCTGAAATGGAGGTTACCCGGCAAATAAGTTTTCTCAAACGGCATAAGGCTTCCGGCCCCGTCTCCATCCGTTTTTAAGGATGGAGGTTCAGTCGTGGTTTTGCAGTTAACAAAACTCCCCGGTTTAGTGTGGGAGAGGGAAGAGGTCCCAACTGAATGGTATCAATCGGTGATCATACCGACTTACAAGAAAGGTGACAGATCCTCCTGTGAAAATTACAGAGGAATTATTTTAATCAACACTGCATCCAAACTTTCGCTGGTATCATGCCCCGTCGATTGTTTGCTGCACGTGAGAACCAGACCAGTTTAGACCTGGTTGAGTTTGTATCGACCACATCTTCACTCTTCGTCAAATCCTAGAACAGACACACTTCGTAGACCCACCATCTGTTTTCCTGGGTCTGAAGGCGGCTTTCGACTCCGTCGCGGCTCTAAACTCTGGCACTGCCTTCCTCTGAAGGGAGTGCCCGAGAAGTTTATTTCAGAATAACCATCCGTCTACAATAATAGCCAAGTCCGAGCTCACAGCACTTTTTCAACCGTGTTCACCACGGA